GGGAGGGGTCGGGAACGATGGTCGTGGTGTTGACAGAGGGAGGAGGGGATGAGTTTGTCCATCTGATTTCAGGAGGGTGTTTAAACGCGGACGGACGTCCCGACTCGGGCACAGCAGGGAGAGCGACTGGGGCTGTGGCCGGCCAGACTCGTCAGGGCTGTGTGTGCAGGATCAGCAGCAGCACGGCAGCAGCAGCAGCAGCAGCAGCACCACAACCATGCAAAACGCAAATGCAACCAGGCCCCAAAGAGGGTTTTCCGGGTGGGCGCAAAAAAGTCATAGAAGCGGCGATGCGCAAGCCTAGCATTCGGATGTACCGGTGAGCGCCGTCCGCGGCGACATGTCAGGGGCGGGCAAAAATCGAGAAGAACAGAAAGTCGAGCGGAAGTTTTTCGGGTTTCTGACTTTTGCCGCTCGCCCGCTCTTTCTCTCTCTTCTGTCGCTGAATTCCGAAGGGCGGCCCGCCGCTTGCTCACCGCGGTTGGACGCGTCAAAGTCTGCGCTGAATCCTCGGTCTAAGCCGAGACCGAACCTCCTCCTCATTCTCCTCATTCGGGCGCAACCCTGAGCTTACCTGGCGGACCACCCGTCAGAGGTACTGGACTGCATGTTGGTGTTGAGATGACTGCCTCGCAAGAGTCTGGGCTGCTGGTCACCCATGCTTCTCAGCAGCGTCACCTGCCAGCCTCGATGCGGCGATGCGGCGACAGAGCTCGGGCCCAGACGAGCCTCGCTTAGAGCCAAGTGGCGATTTTCACTTGGAGTTCGAACTCGGCCTGCTAGCCCTTTCGAGGGATTTTCTGAGACACGCCTTCCCAAAAGAGTCAAAAATTCTCCGCAGCTCATCACAACGCGGCTCGTCGGATTGCAAACAGTCGCCAGTACCGCTGGCTCGCCCGCCTCGCCTCTGCCGCCGCCGCCGTCGCCGCCGCCGCTCCGCCGTTGCTGCTCCGCTCAAAGTCGTGCATGCAGGTAGCTGCAGCTCTCTGTCCGAGGTCGTGTGACTGGTCCCCCCGTCTTTTCCAATCACCAGATCGGCAGAGCGCAAACACATATCGAGAAAGAATCGGGCGGTCAGGGGAAGCCCGGCGAGGGATGCAGCCCATCCACCCATATGAGCAGCCGCCCCCATTCCTGGGTGGATCGATGCAGTCGCATCATCACTCCTGCCTGCCAAGCTCCCCTTTCGCTTTTCGATGCGCGTGCTTGTGCCGGCTAGGGTCGGGACAGAGCGATGATGTCGATAATGACGAACGACGGCCAGTCTCAAAGCCATCACTCGCGAGCCCGTTCAGCAACGTGACTACCGTGGGTGGGCATCGGTTTGGGATGCGACCGCACCCCCGCATATAACCGAGCTGTCCACGTTCCCTCGTCTGGATCCAGCTTGGCCCCACCAAAATTTTGAACGGCTTGACAGCGCTTTACAAAAGTTGCCACAGACTCACCTCCACCTCTGCAATCCAGTCTAGGTCCAACTTGCGGTCATGGCGCATCACAAGGTCGCCTTCATGACCGTTGTGTAGCCGGCCCCTGCGTGCCGGCCGGCTTCTTGGGTCAGGCACACGGTCGTCGGCAACGGTCACGCTTCTCGAACTCCGATGCCCACATCAGACGTGCTGCACACCTTCCAACCTGGCCGACGCGACGCCAGCGACGTGAGTGTGGAGTGTTGCAGGCCATCATGCTGGCTTGCTCATCAAGTGTGCCTGAGTCATCCTGACCATCGCAGGCGTGAACAAAGTGTCAGCAAAGTGAGCACGTTCCCGCTCAGTTCAAACTGGCCATCAGCCGTGCCGAGACGATACAGCAGCGAGCTCAGAAGACCGCGGCAACCAAGCACGCCCAGCGTTCGACCAAGGCCCCCATCCTCGGCGACGGCATGTGACGCCGATTCGAGGCGTCAAGGTTTTGCGCAACCTCCGGCAAGCCTTTCGTCTCGACCCGCTCCGGTCAGGGCCTCAGAAGAATCGGGCGATTGGGCTTGCTGTATTCGCCGCATGCTGCTTTCACAAATCGCACAAACTCCTGGCTCATGCCGTTCGGAAGACTGAAGCTACCAACTCCGGTCTGCTCTTCTGATGCATCTGCGGAGGCTGGCTCGAAGGCGAGCCTGGGCATCGAGAAGAGTGTCGTACGCATGACGTTGCCGCACAGCCTTGTCCTCTCACGTTTGATGCCTACACGCTGCGGGTTCCCCTGCCTGGGGCGTCGCGAGCAGAGACGTGTGGTTTGGTGCGCATTCCGCTCCGTGAGGTCGGCGCGATGCGCGATCAACGCCAGACCTTGCACAGGGATGTCTTGCTGCGCTTGTCGAGCAGGCTGATGCTGTCAGAACGAAGTGCCGCAAGGGCAAGCTAGTGCTTGTCCGAAGCATCACACACATCTGTCCCGTCTGGGACTGTTCAGAGGTGATGCAAGGTCTCACACCGATCCTGGTGCATCTGGCTCACATCCATCGCTTCCCGGTCCTCCAGCGATAAGGTTGGCTGGTCGTTGACGGTCGCAAAACCAGACGACAGGGCTCACGCGCATCTGACCACGGCAACCGCAGAAGACGTCCTTTTGCGAGTCAAGCACGAAGACCACCTGGGCTCGCATGGCCGTCCCTCGTCCGACGACGGCAATTTGTACCAGAACATTGTTGATAGCCGAAGCCCACTCACCATGATCCGTTTGATCTCACGAGCATGAGCTGTCACCATCACGCGGATTGAGAATCTGGCATCACTGACATGTACAACTCAGTGCATGGTGACGATCAGGTTTGTGCGAGAACAATAGATTTCTAAGGCATCAGTCCTCGGATGTTGGCGCTGTGCACCTTGCCCTCCAGAATGAGCTCCGAGAGCACCTTGCCTGTACCGAGCGAGTTGGTGATGCCCCAGCACGAGTGGCCCGCCGCCACGTATACGCCGTCCTTTCCTCCGATGATCGGGTTGCCCGTGCGGTTGCTGATGGGCAGGTAGCATGCCTGCTTGGCTTTGAGCGTAGCGCCAGCATCGACATCGAGCGATGTGGGCGAGAGCACCTTGCTCTGTTCGATCAGCGCCGCCACCTTGCTTTCGTCAAAGTCCACTTCGTCCGCGGTCTCAGGCAGCGCAACGTCGTCCGAGCCACCGCATACGTATGCTGTGCCATCCGGACGGCAATACAGTTCCGGCGCCCCAGCTTTGCGGCCACCGGGGCCGTACGCCATGTCGGTGAAGAGGCAGTCAGCCGAGAGCGGCTTGCCCGGCGGCGACTCGATGACGACGCTGTGCGCTCGCGATCCATCGATGGAGGACGCTGCTTTGAGATGCGCAGGGAGCATGCTCCGTGGGAAGAGCTTGGTGATGAGAGAGCCAGTCCACGGTCCCGCAGCGATCACGAGCTCGTCCGCGTCTATTGTCTGCTGATCTTGCGTTTTGGAGTCGGTGATCTCGACACCGGTAACACGTCGTTGATCATTGAAGCGCAGGCCGGTAGCACGCGTGTTGAAGAGCACCTCCACGCCGGCCTCGATGGACTCTTGCACCAGATGGCGTGTCAGCAGACCCGGATGCACTTGCGCCGTTGAACCTTTGCCGCCCATGTTGGATGTTGAAGTGATGATCTCCTTGTCGAGCCAGTCTATGGCACATTTTGCAGGCTTTTTGGTCATGGACTCCCCACGGCTCGAGTCGACGTTGACCTGCCAGGTCTCGACCTCGCGGTAGCCCCACTTCTCGTGGCCACCATCCTGATCGGCAAGCTGTCGATGGAGCTTGAAGCTGAGCTCCGCCAGGCTTGCCGTCGCCGCGCCGTGCCAGTCCAGCGCCAAAAAGCCGCCAGCTTTGCCTGATGCCGCAGGAGCCGGTGCGGAGGACGCTTCGATGAGAGTGATGCGCGTCACCGCCCGGGCTCCCGCAGACGCTGCGGCTCGCGAAAGGTAGTAGGCGATGCTTGAGCCAATGATGCCGCCGCCAATCACGACGATTGACTGCGCTGGTCTACTTGCGGTTGTCATTCTTCTATACTTGCGATGATGGGAAGGAAGAGAGATCGTCGTATGAGGCGGGAACAGCCGGTGGCAAAAGAGTGCACGGACGAGTGCTGCGGAACAAATGGACCCTGCCCGCTCTGCAGGTGGAGGCTGCAACCGCCAAATTCGCCGGTTGACCAAAAGGCTGCCTTTCCGGCCGAAACGAAGCGGACATTCGCAGGGAGAAAAAATCGGGCAGCCAAGGCGCGATTGCAACGCGGAGAGGCGGTGGAACAACAACATCAGATCGCCAAGCTGCGCTCGCTGCCCGACGCTTTCAGTACTTTGCGCCTTCTGCACCGACGACCAGTACACAGCAAGCGTCCGACTCTCGTTGAGGGCAACACACAGTGCAGGAGCCATGTTCTCCTTCTCGAACCCCGCGGCCACTCCGCAACAGCAACAACAGCCGCAGCAGCAGCCGCAGCAGCAGCCGCAGCAGCAGCAACCCCAGTCATCGACGCCATTCGGAGGCAGTGGATATGGCAATTCCTTCTCCAGTCCGGGAGGCTTCTCCTTCGTCAACAACAGCACGAATGCCGCACAACCACAACAGCAGCAGCAGCAACAGCAGCAGCAGCAGCAGCAGGGAACGCCGCAGTCAGGCGGGCTC